CTGTTCCAGAAAAAGCAAAAGAATGGATGGATGGATGGATGGATGGATGGATGGATGGATGGATGGATGGATGGATGGATGGATGGATGGATGGATGGATGGATGGATGGATGGATGGATGGGGCAAAGTACAATTTTGGGAGTGTGGGCAGTTGACTGTTATGGCCACTGGAGATTCTGCCAGGGAACTGGAGGTGCTTCTGGGATGCTTCTTTCCCACCCTTGCCCCTCACACAGGGGTGGTCAAACATGGCCCTCCAAATATTTTTGGCCTAAGAGGTCCCATCAGCCCAAGCTGGTGCAGGTGCTGATGAACGATGACGGGAGCTGTAGCCCGAAACAGATAATGAGCCACCACGGCTTTCTTTTCCGGTAGCTGAAGTCTGGCGTGTTGGACCAAGCCCTGGCATGGGAGGTGCCTGTGAAGAGAAAACGAGAAGGGACAAAGCGAGGTGGCCTACACTGAATGGCAAGAGTGCATCCCTTCTCTTTTGAACTCTTTTGCATCGAGCAGGGGTTCCCAACGATGAGTCTCCAGGTGTTCTTGGACGACAACTCCCAGAAATCCTGGCCAGAACAGCGAGAGGGGAAGACGTCCGGGAGCTTTTGTCCAAGAACATCTGGGGACCCATAGGCTGGGCAACCGCAGCATTAGAGAGAAGTTGAGATCCTTGTCCATTCTCTGCCTTTTACAGATGTTTTGTTTACCTGCCCCTCCCCCCTTTTTTTAGGCACACAGAAGCACAGCAGTTCATGCCTGCAGGGAAATACAAAGCTGATGGGATCTTGGAAATGGTATGTTTTTGTGCAGCTGTGTTTGTGTAGCAAGGAGTGTGTTTGCTGTTTCTTAACGGCTGTGCGTAAATATCAGAGATAGGGTGGTCTGTGTTCCTGTTGTGTGGGAGTGCCGTGTGGCAGCTGGAATCCTGTCCATCGCAGCCATCCATCAAACCAGGGAAGACGGCTCCTAGCCCGTAATTACGGGGAAGAAATAAGAACAGTCAATTGTGTGGTCCGTGCCTGGTAAAGGGCGTAAGAAGCCAGAGCAAGGCCTCTGGGCTTATCCGCTTCCAGTCCCTTAAAGACTCCCAGGGCTCCAGATGTGCAGGTATAAGAGCCTGAGGTTTAATCACCTGGTGCCACTTGCAAAGAGAAAGGAGATATACCCTATCATCTTCCAGATGCCCTGTTCTTGGAAGGAAGGTGAGCTGAGCTACACCTTACACCCAGATGCAGAGGTCAGTCTGGCTTATTCATTTCAGGAGATAGCCCGTTCCCCGAATGGCAGTCTCGGCCTCCAAATGAAAATTAGCACAGATTTCAGTGCCCGTTGTCCTGCTATTTTAAAACTATGGTTATCAACCGACCTGTTCCATCAGTGTCTAATTTTTTTTTTTTTAAGCGTAGATCAGGACATCCTTCTGTCTCCCTAATTTCTCCTCACTTCTTCTGCTACCCACTGGAAGCCAGGGAACAAGGAGAGAGACAAGATTAAGCTGACATGGAAGTGGAAAGTCCATTCTGGTGGAATGAACCTTATAAAATTACAACACATTTCAATTAAAGCCGGAGCTGAAGGGGAAGTAGCGTTTTGTCTTTTGCTTCAGCAGGGAGGTTTCTTTAGAAGGGGTTCCCCGGCTTCACATCAGAATATCTCCACCCATCATCAAATGAGGGCAAGGGAGTAGAAGTGGTAGAAAACACAGCTTTAAACCCGCAGTTAAAAGGTTCAACGTGACAATCAAAGAGGAAAGCACTGTCTCGGCATAAGATTCTGGAAAGTGGCTTCCAGTCCGTAGGCTTAGATGAATAACTGGTCTCTCCTGGAATAAGGCTGTTGCCTCTATTATTTATAGGCAAGGCCTGGAAACAAAAATCTTAAGTTTCTGGATTACAACTCTTAATAATCCCACCGCTAGTATTTAACAGGTCAGAGCAGACAAAAAGTAACTTTGGCAAACTCTGCTTGTGGTGTGAGTGAATCACCCCCACACACATTGTGTTATGCTACTCCTAGATCTGGGCAACTCAACAACAGGGATGGGTGAGAATTCCATTTGAGGGTGTTTTTAAAAATAAAAAATTACCCCAAATCCCCATTTTTCTTACATGTTCAGAATATGAAAGGACTTGAAATTCAATGAGGTTAAATGTGGAAGAAAAATGAAATGGGGAGATGGGTCCAGGCAGGTCGCAGGCTTTAAGTCCCGGACTCTGCATATGCTGATATGTATGGGGCTGGATTGGGGTTGCCATCTTTTCCCCCCCAACACGCTCCTCAGCTTTAATATGAAACAGCTGTACCAGTAAAGCTAGGCAACTGGAAATGGGAGAGAGTTTTGCTTCCCTTAGGAAAAAATGATTGCTAGTATTGATTTCCCAAAACTGACACATTTTCTTTGCATTTGGAGTTATCTCTCAATGAAAGCTGATTCATTTTTGGGGGGTGGGTGGGTGGGATTGCTACCTGGTTATTCACATTTGTATCCCCTCCATGGACTTCATCTTTACAGCTCACGCTGCACACTGTCACGAAATACGAAGACCTGGTGGCGTTCCTGCAACAAAATATTCGCCAGGTAGGGAACTCGCCCCCCCCCCAAAAAGAGCTTCCTGTTTTTGTGCGCCGATATTTTCGTTGCCCCAGCAAAAGTGCTCATGAGTTTTTGTGGGCCTGCTTGGTTCTTTGCTTAGAATATTGACTCCTTTACCTCTCAATGTATAGGTTACGCGAGAGCGTCCAGGGCAATTTTTGTAAACCGCAAAATCAGAAGCCAACAAAAATAAAACAAATCAATTGCAGCAAAATAATAATAAAACCGTGTAAGGCAGGATACGGCGACAATAAAATCCACAGATGTAAAAATCATAAACATTTCAAAGCAGCTGTTAAATTATCCCCTTTCAGGCTGAATCAAAAGCTTTCCAGAAAGGAATTGTTTCAACTTGGTGTCCCGAGTGAATAAAGCTAGCACATGGCACATTTCTCTAGGCAAGGTAGCTCATAAAAAGAGCTCCAGCAAATAAAATGCTTATCTTTTTGGTAGCTACCTGTCTCAGGATTGATGGTGGAGGTGTTGACAGGCAGTCTTAATGTATGGACAGATTCTTGTGGGCTCAACTAATGGTTTAGATGGAGAGGTACTTGCAGCTTTCCAGATGTGGTTGAACTGTGGCAGATATCCGTAGTAATAGCAATAAACAGAGTGTTGAACAGAAGAACATCAGAAGAGCCCCAGTGGATCAGGCCAAGGGCCCCTCTAGTCCAGCTTCCTTTATTTCACCGTGGCCCCACCACCCCTTCCTGTATCTCACAGTGGGCCCTGTCTCCTGATACCCCTTCCCCTGCATCTGGCATTTTGATTGCTGATTGGATGATGTGTTTTGGAGGGGGGCAACAGGAGAGTAACACTGTTTAAATTTTGCTGACTGATGGACTGAAAAAAAATCAATGTATAACTAAAACCATGCTGTTCAGACCAGTGCAATTCAGAGGAGAAGTGTACAGACATAAATCCCCTCCATGGATTAAGACAGAGGGCAAAGGAATAGACCAGATCTTATATTCTGTTCCCTTTAATTACTAACCAGAAGTGGTTTCACTCCGTACGCCGTGGGTGAATCACAGAATCGTGGAGTTGGAAGGGATCTCTGAGGCCATCAAGTCCAACCCCTGCTCAAGGCAGGAATCCAAATCAAAGCAGACCTGACAGAAGGTGGTCCACCTGTTCTGTCCAGCTACCTTTCCTTCAAAATTGAAAGGAGTTTCTCTTCCTCGTTATTTGAAAGAAGGCAAACCTCTGGAGTTCATTCATTCCTGGCATGCTGGTGATAGCCTCCCATCAGAAAAAGGAGAATGGAGCTCTCTATGGCCCTACAGTCCCTGCCCTCTGGCTATGGTGGCCGAATCCAGCCAGCATCCATCTCCATTCAGGGGGTGGCTCTTGAGTCCCAGACAAACTTCTAAACCTGGGAGTGTGATGTGTTCCTCCTTTTTATTTGTCTTGATATCCTGCTCCCTTCACTTCGACCAACATCGCCAGAGGGCAGGGACTGTAGGGCCAGAGTCTATTGGAGAGTCCGTCGCCCACCCTGCTTAAACCAACATCTATGGCTGTGGAATATGTTATCCTTGCCATGGGGAGCAGGTCTTCAAACCAGGAATGAGGGCACGGGAACGTGGTAGGAATGAAGCGAGTACATTTTGCAATTCTGCAATAATGGATGGGTTGGAAAGGGGTGCTCAGCCTTCCCCGCTCAACCGAATGTTATTCCTTCTCTCCCTGCACTCCGGCCTTCACTTTGACCACCATCGCCAGAGGGCAGGGACTGTAAGGCCAGAGGCTACTGGAGAGTCCTTCACCCACCCTGCTTAAACCAACATCTATGGCTGTGGAATACGTTATCCTTGCCATGGGGAGCAGGTCTTCAAACCAGGAATGAGGGCACGGAAACGTGGTAGGAATGAAGCGAGTACATTTTGCAATTCTGCAATAATGGATGGGTTGGAAAGGGTTGCTCAGCCTTCCCCGCTCAACCGAATGTTATTCCTTCTCTCCCTGCACTCCGGCTTCCAGTTCGAAGTTGGTCCACACGGATGCATTCTTCTGACGCTGTCGGCGGTACTATCAAGATCAATCAATCAGTGAGTACATCTGCATTTCTTTCGGACAGGCGTCCTTGGGTCCTAAGCTCCTGGGATATTACGGGCGAAATGTATGGCGTGTCGTTTCAAAGTATGTTCCAGCTTACCATAGATGGAATTCCTTAGGCCTGGGTTTCTCGGAAACAGGCTACCCTGGACCTCCCACCTGCATCCGTGTTTCTGGTATTGGAGGCGCTCCGCAACGTACGTGATCCGAGGGCACCGTGTGTTGCGAGGAGCCCCTGTTCTGAGTTGAGATACGAGGGTACAAACTTGAATTGTTTGCTTCTGAGTAGATGTTCAGAGGTGCATGTGATGATGCAACAATTCTACACTCTTTGCACAAACTGCACAAAAATCATTCTTACAAGTGGAAAAACGCTCATCCGTGCTGCCCCAAAATGTCCTTCTAACCCAGTGGTCTCCCTACTTTGGGTGACCCGGGAGTTCCTGGACTGCAACTCCCAGAAACACCAGCCAGTACAGCTAATGGTGAAGGCTTCTGGGAATTGCAGTCCAAGAACAGCTGGATTGCCCAAGGTTGGGAACCAGTGCTCTAACTGAAACATTTTTTGGAGTTTTTTTTTTTAAACCCTCACATGCAAAACAAAACTAGTGAGGAACCAGTGCTCTAAATGAAACATTTTTTGGTGTTTTTTTTTTTAAAACCCTCACATGCAAAACAAAACTAGTGAGAATTGGCCTCTAGGAATGGGATTTTTGGACCACAAATCCCATCATTTGCCATTCAGGGACTTCGACCTGACATACAGACACCTACAGACATGTAACTGTGGCTCGCCTGGGAGAAAGGCCTGATCTGGAAAGCTTTGTGGCCTAGCTAGGCCTAGCTCCACCTAGGTTCCTGTTCAGGAAGGAAGGGAGGATTATGGGATCTATAGTCCAAAAAAAATATCTAAAAATCCTATGTCCGTTATGTTCCTAGTTGGAAGAGGTGGAAAAGCTTCAAGGCCAAGAAAACTGTGCAGTTTGTCAATGGGAGTCTAATAAATTTAAAACCAGATAACATTTGAATCTGAGACTTCACTCCCTTTGTGACTATGATAGTGCACTCTAGAAAACAGACCATCTAATTTAAAAATATGCAGCAAGAGAAAAAAAATCACTCGAGAACTACTGGTAGGAGAAACAACACATCGAAGAACTAAGCTGCCTTAGTCCTTATCTTCTGTTTACATTAAGCAAACTTAATGAGTTTATCCCTTATCGCTGGAGAGAATGAAATGTTGGGTTTTCCTTGGCAGTGCCGAGCAGGGCAGCATTTAAAGAAGCAAGCTGTTCTTTCTTAAGTGCATTTTAATGGCAGATATCACCGTCTTCCCCTTCAGATTAGACAAATGACGGAAGATAGGTTCCCTCAGTTTTCCTCGTGTGAGGAAATGCGTACCGCTGAGCATCTGGTACAGGCATCTTGAGGGGCAGCCATTTGAAATAACTTGCATAGTTTGGAAGCAGTGTTGAAAAGGCCAAGGATGGCTTGCTTGTGGTCAACGGGAGGTTGCTCAGGTGGAAGCCTGCGCAAACGGAGACAGCCAGACTTGTCCCGTCTTACGTTTTCTTAGCAGCATCAAAGTCGGGGTAGCAATACGACCCCTTAAGCAGAATTTGTGCTATGCCTCGCTGCTACTGCTGTGTCCTGCCTCATTATCAGAAGAACGCTGTGGCTTCTGAATGTGTTGTTTCTGTCATTACCTTGTTGAAAATTCCCCTTCTGGTTCACGTAGCCCTTGTTTTATAATGCTTAAATACTCTACTTCTTGTCTTACCAGCTTACCTATGCCACATATTTGTTATACGTGTCATGGAGCATCCTTTCCCTCTCTGCACATCAGCAACTAGATGTCCTTTGAGCTTTAATCCACTTGGTTCATTATTGATTGCACTCTTGGTATGCACTCCTTTGTCCTTCCACATGAGCTGAGTGAATGACTCCTGGCCTAGGTCTCTCATCTTCCAGCACGATCCCTTGTTTCATTTTAGATGGCCTCGTCATAAGATGTTCAAAGTATTTTAAAAATCCAGAAATGGTTTACCTCCATTACCTTTCCTTGAGCGGTAATAACAAAAGCTAGCTCGAGTGTCACTGCCATTGTCTATGCAAAAAACGCCCACCGGTGTCACTTTCCGCCATGCGGCTGCTGGGCTTCCAATCTCTACTCCTGATGTGATTGTTAATTCCTGAAAGGGATGGAAACAGTACGGGCTGGTGTCCCAGCTTTGACTCTACTGTCTTGGATGACCTTGCTTGGAGTTCGGAGAGCCTGGACATACTCAGATCCCTTCACCTGCATCTGTGAGAAGGGATAATTGAATGAATGAGAGAAAGAAAGAAATTTATTTATTATTTATTAGACTTTGATATAATGCCAAGGCCATTCTGGGAGAGGGAGGGAGGAAGCAAGGAACCCTACATTTATAAAATTGGAAGAAACTTTTGATGTCATCTGGTCTAATCCAAGCTTGTAAAAGTTACTTTTGAGGACTGCAAGGAAGTCCTGCCAGTGCAGCAACTGGCTTGGGGATTCTGAGACTTCTAGTCCATAAAAGTAACTTTTCCAAGCTCTGACTCCAATCTCTCCTCCATGCTGGATGAAATTGAGGCTTTAGATGCCTCAATGTCAGCTTGGAAGGCTTGTCGCAGAAGGCGGGCCCACCATCTCCAGTGGCAGACTGTTCCACTGTCAAACATCACTTACTGTTTCCTCTTGCGTTTAGCCAAAAATCTGCTTCCCTGGACTTTCCACCCATTATTTCTAGTCGTGTCTCAGAAGCAATAAACAACACGCCTGCTTCATTTTCCAGGACAAAGTGGCTCTAATAGGTGATCGCCATGAAGATGTAACCCGGGAGGACTTTCTTCTACCCTCCACAATGAACTTGTGCCCCATGTGGATTAAAGCATATTTAGAATTATCTCAGCTTGGAGTTCCCAAAATTTTTCAACTTTTTAATCCTCTGAAATGATTTTCTTTTTCTTGGAGGAATGAAGAAAACAATGGGTGGTATTTTTATGTTTCATATAAAAATACAGAGCATCCTTTTTTAAAAAAGAAGAAAACAATAGTATTGAGAAAACAGATTCGACTCACTGGGACACTGAAGGTCAACGAGGAGGCTGTTCAGTCCATTAAAATCCATCTCATTCTAATCCATGGAAAATGTGATTCAGTCTCACTCCTCATGTTACTTGAATCTCAGAAGTGACCACGCCCCTACGAATCTCTCTTACCTTCCTGAAAATAGGTCTCCCTCCCCTTTGAATGGAGTGATGTTTCTGTTCCACAGTTCGGTGGTTTGCTCTACATTCTAATTTCGAACATATATTATTTTTTAGCCAGGAAGGTTGGCGAGCTTTTGGGTCTGAGTCCTAAGTCCGAATCTTTGGTCCTAACTCCCAAGTCTGAGTCCCTATTAAAAAAACAAGCTTTTCCCCCTAGAGTTGTGAGTTGGGTCCAAGTCATTGAAGGGTGGGTGGGGGGAAACCAAGTTGACTCACTAATACAACTTGAAAGCGAGTTCCAAGACTCTAGTCCCTGTGCCGGTTTCAGCACACATGCGCATCATGTGAAGGTTGTTTGTGTCCCTCTTCCCCTCTCCAAACTGTCTTCAGAATAATACAGGGTTGGGTCTCTCTGGCTTCTAGCATGCATTTTGGACCACTTGTGGTGCAGTCTATTGTGAGCTCTTTCCTGACAACCCCATGACGTACAAGGAATTGAGTTCCAGCCCAACTCTAATCCACGACCAAGCTGGATTTTTTCTGGTCCAGCTGTTGTTGTTGTTGTTTAGTCGTTAAGTTGTGTCCGACTCTTCGTGACCCCATGGACCAGAGCACGCCAAGCCCTCCTGTCTTCCACTGCCTCCCAGAGTTGGGTCAAATTCATGTTGGTTACTTCGATGACACTGTCCCACCATCTCATCCTCTGTCGTCCCCTTCTCCTCTTGCCTTCACATTTTCCCAACATTAGAGTCTTTTCCAGGGAGTCTTCTCTTCCAGCTGTAGGACCACTATTTTGAGGGCCTAGGCTGGAGTAATTCCCCTACAATGGAACAGGTGCTATAAGAAAGATCACTCCCAAGAAAACGCTCACACCCACCACTTCATTATGCAAACAATTCAGTATTCTGAATATTTTTTTTCAGTAGATCTTCAAATTATGGGCTCTTGTGTGTTGCACGGCAGGCAAGGTACAAGCTGAAATTAAACATGCAGGAGCACGATACGGGAATAAAATGACAGATTATGAGTATTTGAATGAGCCAGCGGGTTGGAGATCACAATTTGGCAACAACAAAATAATGCCTGCAAGTAGAAGAAAACCAGCAGAGAGGAGCGAAGATTGGACTAGAAATGTTCATCCTGATCTCTTACATTTCTGCTTGCAGGGCTGCGCTTTTCTCCGCTTACAAACATGGCAGAATACTTTAAAATTGTGCCCAAAATCTGTTGCTTAATGCAGTAAATTGCACTTGAGTTGGGCCCCTTGACTCAAAGGGGATTTGGTGAACCTCTATAAGGTCCATTGATTCAAGTGGCCAAACTCTAATTTCAACATGTTATGCTAAAGTAAGTCACAGTCAAAGTAGGCCCATTTGAATGGATGGAGGAGTTTACTTATTAATTCAATGGGCCTACTCTAGTGCATTTTACCATGCTAGGCTACAAGATTTTGGCTTGTATCTGTTTTTTAGATGAACCACAAATACCCAACAGTCTGCTGTGTTGTGTTAGGAGGCAAATATGAAAATTAAGGTTTTTGGCTCAAGTCCCATTTGAATGTAACATGTACTGTACATTTCTGAGAGCTACTAGGGTTGTCTCCCAGTTATCTTGAACCTGGAGATAGGAGGAAAGTAACTTCCCTAAACAGTCTTCAGAGAACACTGCTCTGGCATACTGGTTAGCCTCTTGGTTTTATTCCCTACAAACCAAAATGGCGGCATGCACAGTTGCCCAAATGGAACATTCCTTTGGTACT